CCCGGCACGGGCGGCCCCAGCCTCTGCAGCTGCCGTAGCCCTGGGACTCCAACCCCCGGTGTGGACAGAGGGTTGGAGATTTTACCAGTGAACATATGGACTTAATACAAGCTGAAATTTTAAAAATCAGTCAGAATGTGCAGGGTGGCTTATTTATTTTTAGAAGGTTATTTTTTTAAAAACGTTTTCTGCTCCTGCGAGAGAGATTCCCTGACTGTGCAACACAAAGCTGGGAATAAATTCAGCTTTATGCAAAAAGCGTTATCAGATGCACAGAATAATTATACATAAAATTGCCACTTTAATTGACACAAGTCAGCTGCGGGAGGGAGCAAACTCTTCTTCGCAGTTTGTGGCGAGATTCTAGACAGAAAAGCGACCTCGCAAGACGATAGTATCATTTTAATTGAGACAGACAGAGGTGTTAGGCAAACACATGTTAATTGCCGCAATTGAAATTCAGGGCTTAGTCTGACAAAGTGCTGAGTACGTCCACTCCCTGGAGTCAAAAGGAAGCACCTTGGAGGTTTGGGCCTTTGCCAGAACAAGAGGGTTAATTTTGAGTCAACAGTTCAGGTTTCCAGACTGTTCCAGACTGTGCCGGAGCAGCGGCAGCAACGTGAGCGGTGGCAGCAACGTGAGCAGCAGCAGCGGTCCCCGCCGCGCGCGAGCAATGGGACCCATGGGTCAGGCTCCCGAGCCCTGAGCACAGTCCGGAGCTCCGTGGTGTGGGCGCCACAGAGAGGCAGGAAAGCAATCCAAAGGCTGGCTATTCCCAGGCAGCTGAACATTAAGTCTGATGCTGCCTCCTGAGAGGGACGTGGTCATGTGTTTCATCCGCCCAGGAGTCAGAGCACAGACTACATGGGGCTGCCCCCACCACGCACCTTTTCTGTAATGGCATGGGCCAGTTACTCTCGGGAGCATGATCAATACTCTCCTGCACTTGAAAAAGCATAAATAGATATTTTACCATAGTTCCCGTAGCAGTGGGACTGGATCTAGTGTGCCTCTGCTGTCAAAGCCAGGCTGCTGAGAAAAAGGGAGTACAGCATCCACGGGGGTCAAATGGGAATGCCTGAGAAGGGGAATATCCCTTCTCCACGCACTGCAGGGATACCAAAATGCAAGTTCGAGTTCAGGTACCTAAATCCTTTTTTTTGCCCCCAGGTGAGGGGCACTGAGGTCTGCTGGCCTTGCACAATCCCAGCCCGTGGCTTCCCAGCTTCACTCAGGTGCAAAGAGCGCTGCAGCTCCCATCTCCAGAGGTGGTAAAGCGTGAGAGAGAGATGGAGGAGCCTGTGAAATAGAAATGTCCTAAAATTTTTGAGGCAATTTAGAAAAAAAGAAAGAAAAAGAGAGACAGAAATAAGGCCCCTACAGTCTTCTGCTTTGATTAAAACAGTTGCTGAGACAAACTTGACATTTCAGGTTTGAAATAGGTGGTGGCAGAGAAAGTACCGAAGTGAAATGTTTTTAATAACTGTAAGGGGAAAAATATTTTCCCTACTAATATTCAGAGGATCATTTCAAAAATATCTCCCCTTTGACCACGGCAAGGGTCTGCCAGCAGCTAATTTCAGTGGCATCTGGTGCAGCCTTTCGACTTGCGCCTGTTGCAGACCTCGCTGGGGAGCAGGACGAGCGTGTGAGGTTTCCCTTCCCCTTTCAGCATCCCCCTCCGTAACTTTCCCCCCTCATCACTCCCTGCCAAACCTCTTCTTGCCCGCCAGGTTTCACCGGCAGCACAGCAGATGCAGCCCACGCAGACGATACAGCCACCGCAGCCGACCGGAGGTCGCCGGAGGAGAGTGGTGGACGAAGACCCGGATGAGAGGAGGCGGAAATTTCTGGAAAGGAACCGAGCCGCCGCCACGCGCTGCAGACAGAAGAGGAAGGTCTGGGTGATGTCACTGGAAAAGAAAGCAGAAGAGCTCACCCAGACAAACATGCAGCTTCAGGTGCGAGCCACTGTCTGCACCCCTGAGGACACAGAGGGGCTCTTTGTGCTCAGAGGGGCTGGTGGTGCCGGCGGGCCTTTGCTGCCTTCGGGTTTGCCTCAGCGCAGCCGGCTCCTAGCAGGAGCACAGGCATAATCAAAGTCGATTAATCAAGATGTGTGTGCTTCAATTAAAGAAATAATTGCATTTTAGTGGGATAAGCCAGGAAAAAGCTGTCTTGGGATTTAGAAGCCTTCGCTAGACGGAGTTGTATTTATTTTCTTTTCTTGTCACCGTTTTTTGTGGGGATTTTTTTTGGAAGTGCCATTAACTCGTCTGTGAAAGACTTTTTCAGAGCAGGGCATGTAGCTAAACCCTCATTCAAAGCCATTGAGATAGGAGCATAAATAGATCAGTCTACCAGTAAGGAAAAGAATGAAGTGGTTGGATGAAAATACCCTGAATTAATACAATAAAAGCCCCCCTTAGGGTGGTGCCCTTCTTACAGTGGGCACAGTACTTCTGCCCCATCCAGAGGTGTGCCTGTGTGCTGCCAAGAGCAGAAAGGCCATTCGCGTAATGGCACTCCCCCAAAGCACAGAGGTGTGAGCAGCACCCAGGCACCGGCCGTAGCGGAGCCGTAGGTGACATGCTGTAGGTGACAGCAGCCCTGCCACCACGCTGCCCAGCGTGGCCGGCTGCCACTTCCCCCCACAGGTCTGGCCCCCATCCTGATGCAGAGAGCCAGAGTATTTCCCGAGCAGATTAAAACACTGCCTAAAGTATCTCTGGTGCTGTGAAGGGCTAGTTCGCTTGTCAGTTTATGTCATCAAATCTGGAAGCCAAATTGCCTTCAGAAGAAGTTATAAAATAACGTTATGGACAAACGTTAGCATAAACCCAGCACATGAGCACCGAGTGCCATTTTTGCTCAGTTCTTCTGAAGTTGTGGAGCAGTGTCTGTGTTCTTGGGTTTAAACTTTGCAGAAGAGCCTGGTTTAAGCTTTGTGGCAAACCAAACCCTCTCTTTCTCTTCTAGAACGAGGTTTCCATGCTGAAAAATGAGGTAGCACAGCTGAAACAGTTATTGTTAACACATAAAGACTGTCCGATAACAGCTATGCAGAAAGAATCGCAAGGATATCTAAGTAAGTAGCTGATACGTTTGCACTGTCTCCACACTCCTCACAGGAAAGCAAAGTTTCTAATTCTTCCCTCCAGAACCCCTTCTTGGCCATATTCTCACTTGAACCTGTCTTCTCAAACATCATCCGAGCCATCCAATCTCCTGCCCTTATTTATCCAGCCCCGCTCAAAACCAAAAAAGCCCTGGTTTGCATCCCACACAGCAGAGCTAGCCTTCCCCACCCCTCCCTTCGGCAAGGAGATGCACACGGATGGACGCTCGCTCCCCTGTGGAGGATCCCGCTTGAACTCACAGCTCCAAACCTGCAAGAGTCCTCCTGGGCGCAGCACTGCCAGCACCTTAAAATAACTCTCAAAAGGAAAGTTAAAAAGGAAAACATTACAGTCCCCTCCAGCGAAAATGGTACTGTGCTCTGACAGTGGTGCAGACCAGGCGTGGCGCAGGTTTTCAAGGTTTGTTAACTCTTTTTTAACTCTTATCTTTCATTTTTTTCAAAAAATCTCATCTAATGGAGATATTGAATCCATTCTGTCTAGTTGATGCATTTTATGAGTGTGGTAATTTAGGGACAAATTCTTTGCTTGGCTTTAGAACGGCTAAGAAGAGCCTCAGGGTTAGTATTTGCTAAATTGTGGCATTTTCTTAAAATAGAGCTCATTTCTGTCTCCTCTGCATCACTATGCATCTGGCTCTTTAACAGTACTCAAAGAAAAAAATACATAATTGCATTACATGCCTATCAACTGGTGCTTGAATTAGATTTTCTGTGCTGCAGTGCACTGCACTCTAGTTTTGATTCCTGCTGGAGCGAATAAAGCATTTAAGCATCCCAGCTGATTTTATAGACCTTAAGATATCAGACTTTTTATCCTGACATTGGTTTCATAATCATTAAGGTCTTGGACTTTTTTCAAGGTCCCAGCTCCTGAAGTCAGGCTGATATCAGAGAAGCTGGCTTAAAAAATATAATAAAAACTGCAAAAGAGCAGAAGACAGACAGTGTTGGATAACTGTGTATTTTGAAATCCTGGGACTTGTGCATGCCTCTGGTTGTTAGGATTGCTGCCGTAGTAGTACATCCCTTTTCCAGGAGTGTCACCCAGCCTGGGCTTATTACTCGGATGGATAATTGAACATGTGTTGTCTCTGTCCCCTCATCCCCTTCCCAGGTCCCGAGAGCAGTCCTCCCGCGAGCCCGGTCCCAGCTTGCTCCCAGCAGCAAGTCATCCAGCACAACACCATCACGACCTCCTCCTCCGTCAGCGACGTCGTGGGAAGCTCCACTCTCACCCAGCTCGCCAGCCACAGAACAGACATCAACCCCATCCTTTAAAAGTGGTTGATCAGAAACTGCTAGGGGAGTGTGGTAGCGTATCAAAGCGTCCTCTGTGCTAAGAACATTTGCAACCGTAACTCAAGCCTGGAAGATTCCTCAGTTCTTGAAAGACTCTGGCTTTCATTTTTATAGTTATTAAAATGTCTTTTATACTTAGTTACATAAAAGGGAGTTATGCAATTAATATGCTATCAGCTTGAGAAATGCTTTGGTGCTTTCTCCAGTTTTTTTGGTACCAGTTACTTGTTTATAAACCTAACTGTTTCTGTACATAGTCACGTTTCCTTCTCACCAATCTAGCCTGAAGCCTCAGAAATACGGAGTTGTGTTAAACTGCAGCTTGTTAGCCAACGTGAGGCATGAAAAGTATTAAACAGAGTCATATGTAGGTAACTAGGAGTAATTAGGCTATAAATATAGAGAGAGGGCATCTGCTGACAACATAATAAAAAATGAGTTAGCGTTGTGCTATCAGCAGACCCCGTCTTGCATTCAGAGCCTCTTTCAAAGCGGTTATATAGGACGTGGCTATCAGGACAAAATCAAGCCCAAATAACGTGCTCTTTCATCTAGCCCTCCCCCTTCTCCTCTCTCTCCTACCCTGCCCTTTTTTGCCTCCAGTTATTCTTACACCTTCCTTTTCCCTTCCCAAACCCTTTTCATCCCTCAGCTTTTTTTCCCTGCTTTTATTCATTCCAAGGCTTTCTCGCTTCCCTCTCTTTTTCTCGAAGAACGGTGATGAACAAGCAAAAACTTCAAGCCCACCTAAAATCTGTCAGCGCGGCTGCTGCTTTCACTAGCTCTTCACCCGCAGCTGGGCGGTGCTGAGCGTTTGGCTTTTAAAAAACAGAAATGCTCCTGATTTAGTGTTTTTAATAAACAGCGAGAGGCGAAAGCAGTGCAGCCCCAGGTGAAGCAGGATTGAGAGCCAGCTGTGTTGATGCTAGCAGCCCTGTAAGCTTCTGTGGCGCGGTACAGGCGTAGCGAGCAACACCTGAGAATCACAGCAATTCTTTTGCACTGCCAGTTGTTAACATAGAAAAAACCATGTAGTATATAATAATTCGGAAAAGTTCTGTTCCGTAACCCGGTTACGTTGTTCTAGCACCGAAAGCTAACAGCCTCAGGTTTCATGGGCTATAAATGAGAAATAAATCATCATAACGGTTCTGACCAGTTGGAAAAATGCCATTTTTAATTCCCAGGGAAAGACCTGCTCTCTGCAGGCATTACTTTAAGCATCCACAGACCGATCCTGAGCTGGCAGACAGCAGTGTAGCTTCACTGACTTTAATGGCACTTAACGCCTGTTTACTGCGGGTAAGGAATTGTCTCATCAGGACGCTAAATAATTTTTAGAAGGCATGCAGCCGCTAAAAAGTGCTGCAAGAATGGCAAATCCCACTGTACTCTGGATAAAATTCAGTCCTGCAAAGAAGGTCTGGGAGAGAGCCTTATGCCACAATTAAGGTTTTTGTTTGGACTCTGGGCCTGCCCCTCAGTGCGACTGATTTGCATCCCCGAGTGGTACCAGTGATTGATGGGAAAATCAGACGGAGATGATGCCAGTTAATTACACTGCCTTGCCGTATATTGGGACCTGATTTTGCTCTCAAATCTGTCAGCGGCAAAACCTCCCGCTGCTTACCCGGGAAGCGGGCTCCGAGCTGGTGATAAATGTTCAGACATTTTGAACTGCATCTTTAATAGCAAAAGCTAATTCTCGTTATTCCTGGCAAATCCTCCAGCCCTGAACACACTTTGTTCTGAAGTGAAGTTCTCCTCCTCAAAGGCCGTGTCTTTGGTTTTCAGAGGAGTTGTGGGTTTTAAAAGGGTGGCTCTTCTCCGTGCGGGAGGGAGAGTGAAACAACTGAAGCGTGAGGCACTGTAAGGAGCAGGGCCTGCCTGGAAGGGAAAGCAGAATTCTGAGGATCATTCATTTCCAAATTAGTTCTTATCTTGGTAGCTAACTTTTTATCAGTATTCTTTAACAGCTCGCTTTCCATTTATGCAAATACTTTCAAAAGGAGAAGATTTTTAATGTACAGTGTAAATCTTGACTTGATTATATAGTCTAAGAACCAAAAAAAATTACGAAAAAATACAAATGTAAAGGATTTTCTATTATATTTTAGACAAACATATACTTTTAAAGTGTTTTAAATACTGAATCTATAATTTTTTTTAACCTCCAGTTGTAATAGCTAAATGGTTTTACTTCATCACGGCTCCCAAGGGAACTTTTTTCAAATATGCAGTCGAGCAAAATGTTCCAGCTGAGTATCCACTATGTAAAAAAACCCAAATAAGCATTTCCCCTGTGTCTGAATTTCATCATTCACCATGAAAAAGAAAATGCCATCGCAGGGTTAATTTAAAAAACTTTCCCTCTATATGGGTAGCACTTAAATACATTAAAAATCAAAGTTGTTGGTAATATTAGAATACCCAGTTGAGCTACACTGCACTAGAATTACGGTTTAGCTTCATTTTATTCAGTCTCCTCAATTAAAATATTTAGCTGTTAAACTGAAAGCCTCTACGTTAAAAAGAAAAAAAAAAAAAGAAAAAAATACAAAAACCTTGCCTAAGTTTTGTTAAATTCAGCAACTTGACAGTTTGACTGATGTGTATTATATATAGCTCAATTATTTCTTTTTTTAATGCTAACTAGGCAAGCCAACCACACATGTTGGCCTAAATGTATAATTACAATGAAATGTCTCCTCTCTATACTATTGGCCTTTAGGTATAATCCTTGCTAGTGATGTGGAAATAAGTAAAGGATGAAAAGCTATTTGCTATTGCTTCTTGTAACTCTGTCGCAGGTTCACAGGCCAAGACAACACGCAGCATATTTATATCGGCTATATCATCGGTAAAAGGACCAACCGTACCAGGCACCTTATATTATTCATCAGATTCGCTTCCACATTAAAATGCTCTTGTTTTCTAGGGGAGTGATCCTGCAGCCTTTCCTCAAGCTGCCGGTCCGGCCGGGCACCGGAGGCTGCCTGAGCAAGGGCTGCGGGAGAAGCCCCGGCCCCTCTGTCCCCGGGATGTCCCTCTGCTGCGCGGTCGGTGGCAACAGCCTCTTCCTAAGCACGTCACTCTAAATGCACTTCCCGGGCTCTTTCCGTCAAGGAGAAATCCTGCTTTTCCACGAGCTACTACTGGAGACTGCTCCGCTTTCCTCCTGCCCCGCAAATCCAGCCCGTTGCTGGGCTCGACGGGCTCCGTGCCCCGTCCCGCTGCCGGCAGACGACTCGGACCGCTTCCCTCGCCCGCTCTCCTGGGCACTTGGAGGGCAGCGAGCCTCGGCCAGCACCTCGCTCAGGAGGAGGCATTTCTGTGGACGGCACCTCTCGTCGCACGACATCGGAAGCACGTTGGAAATCTCAGCCACGGACAACTGCAATACTTCGATCGGAAAAAAATGATGCTGTGATCCGGCTCCTTCATCCCCAGCCCCCCCTCCCCAAGTCAATTTATGCAAGCCATATTCATAACGCTGCCTGTGGGAGACAAGTAGTTTGTGTGCTATCATGGTGTGTTTTATAAGGACGACGATGATGATGATGATGATTTATGGAGAATTTCACACTGTTGGGAGTTAATTCCTGCTACGAAGCTAAATGTCTGCTGCCCATCTTCTGAATAGTGGAAAGTCAATGGTTCAGTGCCTCAGTGCGTGTGGATTTAGTGTGTTAACTGACTCTGTCCTGTTAACTAACAAGCCAGCTATAACTGTTGTTAAATGCCCAAATTTTGAGGATTCATATTTTTTTAAGCAACAATATTTAGTGTTGAAAACTAGCCTTTTAGTTTAGGCAAAATGTGCTTTTTAGCAGCTAATACCTTTTTTAAAAAAAAAGCGTATAGAGTGAATTTATGAAAATTCATGAGGACCAAAGCAATTTTAAAACAGGAATCTATTAATTTAGTATTCACATAGAATTTTATAAAGTATTTATTAATAAATGTTATTTTAACACATTCCATTTGAACAGTATTCTTGTACAGAATCTGTTTGTTTGTTTTTTTTAAGTTACAATATTAGTTTTGCAATAAACTACTCTAGGTGTGTGTGCATCTTAATCTTTCAGGGTCTCAAGCAGAAGTCATCCATCTAAGATGGAAAAGCTTGCTGAGGTCAGTTGTACAGAAATTCCTAGAATTAAATGTTTTCCTTAAAGCAGCATCTGCTTTTTTCTTTTTTCTTTTTTCTTTTCTTTTTTTGGTAACAACAAAACCAATTATGAACCTTCAGTTGTTTCCTTTGTATTGGAAAATGTGCTCTCTCGTTTTAGAAAGCATGGGTCAACATATAACTGGAAAGCCTGTCTTTTTTTTTTCCTCTTTTTTTTTTTAAGGCTGATTTTATACATCACTACGGAAGATCTAACCCCATCCTTATTTCTTTTCTAATATCACATAGTGAGTTGCACTATACTGCCTTATCATTGCCTCTTCTGTCCTCTTACTAAGCAGTGTTCCTTAGATTTAGACCATTGAACATCCATTATACATCAGAGAAAATTACTGGAGGGGGAAGAAGAGAAAAAGATTGATCTGTAGACATAAAAACTAAACTGTGCCTATAAAACAAAACCAGTTACAACTAATTAGTATCTTATTTCTAAGTTTCAATTATTTATATTATTTTAAAATTGCACTTTAGCTCTCACTCTCTTTCTTGCTCTCCCTTGTTGAATCATTTATAAATACTCTTGTAAAACGTTTGCACCAGATACATTTATATGCTTTCACTGGTGGCATATCTACAACTTGTCTCTCACACCTGCCCGAACGGAGAAGCTGAGAACAGCCAGTCTGCAGTGTGACTTAGACTTTACACCCTCTTCATGACAGCATATAAATGTTTTATTATGCAAAGTGTGTGAGGCAGCATCTAAGCTACATTTATAATCTCTCATCCCGAGAACCAAAGTGTCCTGTATATCGTAAGGTCAGGAGACTGGCTCTGTTGTGCATTGTCATGCACTTTGACTGTTGTCCAACCCATGGTAGCTGCGAAGCTGCAGTGATAACAGTGGCCATACTATGTATTAGAGTTCTGAATCAATAAAATATGTTGCCTTATAACTTGACTAGGGACAGCACCTTTAAAAAAAGAAAAAAAAGAGACTAAAAACTTCTAAGGACAAACAAAAGCAATAAAATCTCAAGTGATCTGAATGCCAAAAAAAAAAATTGTTCAATTTTTCATCATCTGAAATAATCATCTTACTGCAAAGACAAAAGAGACTGTTTACAGCTGTAACCTCTTTTTTTTCAGTGCTTACAGTTATCTCAGTTTTATCAGTGGCTTTACACTTAAGAGCTAAATTGCTTACCATTATTGGTTTTCCATAGCTTTCAGAATTACTTTATAGCAAATCCTAAACTGCATGAGGCCAAAAATGTCAGTGTTCACACACACTCACTCACAAGATTGATTCTCTAAGTGGAAATCTGATCCTTTCCCAGGCTCTCCTTGGACTGGAATCAATAATTGCAACTCACTATATTTAGACCAATGATGTGTAATACCTGGGATTCAGGATCTCCAGTTCTATATTTATGCAAATTAAATGGTAGTGATGTTAAGTTTCACCTGGTGGAACTGCTCCCGAAGCCCCCCGTAACATCATGCAATCTGATGCCGTGAGACTCTTAGACCCAAATCTCTTTTTTGACTAAAAATCTGTGCGACAGCCTTCTGAATGAAGACTGAAAGCTCCTTCTGGCTTTGCCGAAACTGCTGCAATGTCAGGAAGCGAGAGAGGGGGGAGGGCTGATAGGGCATTTCAAGGGAAATGTTTTCCTTGCTGGAATTTAGGAAATTCCAGAGAAATTTTTTCCCCATCCCTCGGAGCTGAGATTGCAAAGAGACCCCTGTCAGAGACAACCTTTACCATGCTTCCAAAAGACAAAATATTTTGCACAAAAGGTGTATTCGCTCTTCTGAATAAGAATAATTGCCACTGAGAGTTTTGCCGGGGACTTTGTCATTGGGACCCGAGTGTTTCCCAGCCCAGGGCCCTGAGCTCTGTACCCCTCCCTCTAACAGCTCCGTTCAAACACTGGGTAGCACTCATCGGTGAACGTTGCTTCTTTGGACTATTGTCGTTGTCCTGGTTTTAAGGAACTTTTAGCACTGCTTGGAGTAAGCCTAAACTATCGAAGTTTATATATAAATATATATATATTATATTAAAAAAAGGTGCTGTCACAGTAAGTTTTGGGCTTGAGGTTGTTTGTATGGTATGCAAAGGTTTTGTGTTTGTTTGTCTGTTTGTTTTATTCTGTAAGCAACTTTGTACATAAGTGTAAATACTTGCTGCAGCATTTAATATGTTTAATTTTATGTTAAGCTTTTTGTTGCATTGTGAACCCATTATTGTTACAAATGGACAATGAGTTCATTGAGACTGTTCAACTAGGTCAGATTTTTACATCTCTTTCTAGCTAGAAGAGACAGGAATTTTGTGCATTTGTACAAATGTTAATAATATCACCGCAATTCCAATATAATAAAGCACTCAAATACAAATAGTTCCAGTAGTTTGGCTGTGTCTATACCCCAAACACTTTACGGTATGGATAACTCCTGCAAATAAACCAAGCTACTCTTCAGCGATTTCTATTCTGAGCTGCATCCCTCATCTCCCCCAAAATCTGAGGAGGACCACAGTGCTGGACACCCTCCTGCCTGGCGGTAGGAGCGGGGGGCTGTGCAGACCTCATGGCCCACCTTTGCCCTCTGGCAGCTGAGGTGACTTTGCAAGAACAAGTTCTCTGAACCTTTTCCAAGCAGGGAGGCTGCAAAGCCTCAAACAAAAAGACTTACGTGGTGGAGCCTGACGTGAGGCCTCTGCATAAGGATGAGACAAGCTGTTATTTTACTTTTCATTGCAGCTGGAGTGTGCTTATATCAAAATACACTCTACGCTTGTTATCCCGCCAACCTTGCCTCTTGCCAAAAGCTGCCTGGAAATGGATTTCCTGCTGGGCTAATTAGCTCTAATTGTGATGCCCCTGTTATCTTGCCAACCTCATTTCTCACTATAAATTGGTCCAATACAGACCTTGGTACAATAATGCGTAAACTGTAGTCTAAAGTTAGTCAGGATGAACCCACCTCTCCAGCGGGAAAGCCAGCTTTAGATTAATGCAACTTGATGACCTTGCTGGCAGTCCCGGAGCGATGGCCTGACCCGATGGGGTCCGAGACTTGAGAGGTGCAGCCTCGGCTACGGGGATGTCATGGTTTAACCCCAGTCGGCAACTAAGCACCACACAGCTGCTCACTCACCCTCAGCCCCCCCTCCCCCCCCCGGTGGGATAGGGGAGAGAATCGGAGAGCAAAAGTAAGAAAACTCATGGGTTGAGGTAAGAACAGTTTAACACTTGAAATAATAATAATAATAATAATAATAATAATAATTGTAATGGAAAG